TAGGGGCTAGCCATGTCCGTATGTCCGTCCGCCGTCCGGCGTGCCCCTGCTCGTAAGTTCAGCAGCGCGAGCAAGAAACAAAAAATGAAAAAAACGTCCGGCGTGCCCCTGCTCGCGAGTTCAGCAGCGAGAGCAAGAAAAAAAAATTTAAAAAAAGATGAAAAGAAAAAAAGAAAAAAAGAAAAAGAAGAAAAAAAATAGGGGGCTCTGAGATGTCATCCCATCTGGCTTCTTATAAAAAGAAAAATACGAAAACCACACATTCTTCTACTGATTTAATGAAAACGGCACCACCAGCACTACCTATGACCAAAATCAGTATCAAGAATAAGAAGAAAAAAAAAGACTAGGGGGTTCTGAGTTGCCAGGAGAAAGAAGAAGCTACCGACAAGATCGGACGCGATTTTCTGAGCTCCCCGAACAAAATGACCAGCACCGAGCTGCCAAATTCGGGCTCATTATTCGGCCTTCCTCGAGGGGTTTTCTCACCAGGAGGACCAGAAGAAAGGCCCACTATTTCGAGCAACGTTCCAGCCACCGATGTAAGCGGTCAGCCCGAAGCCATGGACACGAAGATTGCGAGCAACGCCGAAACCGCCCCTATCGAGGCGGGACCGGCAAGTCTTGCCACTCCGACACTGAAAAAGCCAACAATGGAGTGCCCCGCCGTTGTATGCTTCGGTGAGCCCTCCACGATTCCAAACACGGCTTTTTCAGTTGAACAAGCTGTAAGGTCCCTTCTCGCGAGTATCCCGAGGGAGAACCTTTTAGACATATTCAAGGACATACTTGGAGAAACCCATGAAATTGTGCCAACCAAAGCGAAGAAGAAGAAATCGGCTTCAAAGAAAGCTCCAATAAACCCTCTAGGTACAAAACAAACGCAAGAAGCGCCGGCCGCAGCCGGCACCACGCCCATACCAGACACAGCGCCGCATGCAGTGGAGAACAAGCGCGCCAGTTCGATACCTGCGGGGACACTCGCACCACCACCGAACGCGGTCAGCGAGATGCCGCCTGCTACACGAGAGGAACCTGAGGACACGGTTGGTTGGACCCAGGTGACGTATAAGAAGAAAAGGAAACGGGTCCGAGGGGACCCGACACAGCAAACTTCCGAGGAAGTCAAGTCAACCCGGCGCTGGCAGTACGAGTATAAGATCCGTTTGACGCGTTCACAAATCTCGATCAAGCCCCTACTTCCACTACTCAAAATGCACCTCACGGGCACTCACATCTCCACGGCCTTCACAATGCATCTCATAGAAAAGGCTAACACGATTTCGGTCCGCACAGATTCGAAAGAGTTAGCCGAGACTCTTGAGAAGATCACAGAGATTGGCACTGAAGAGAAAGGCAAGATACCCATACAAGTCTTCAGGACTTATGGGAGTACACACAGCAAGGGTGTCATTTATGACATATATCCCAAGGAAGAGGACCCGCAAGACGACGTCCTCAATTCGGAAATTGAGTCAGAAAAGCCTCACGTGGTAGCCGCTCGAAGACTAGGCAAGTCAAACACGGCGGTCCTCACGTTCGATGGAGAGAAAACGCCTCGATCTGTTCTTTACGGCAAGAGGTACATGCGGGTATTCCCGTTCAAACCGAAAGCAGTAACCTGCGGGCACTGCCACCGTCTAGGACACAAGTTCGATATATGCCCGAATACGGCAGTGTGCCCTATACGCGGAACCGACCATCCAAGACCAACGGACCCGACCCAGGGACCTGGATGTACCGACATTACACCCTACTGCCAGGGATGTAAAAAGAAGGGCCACCTCGGAACCGACCGCAAATGCCCCACGTGGCAGGAAACCAACAAAAGGATGCGGAAAGACATCAAGAGTTTCAGAGAACAGCACAAGCTGCAACAGCAACAACAGGAGATAGGAAATAGACCAGTCAAGACCCCGGTACCGCCCGGTGAGAACCTGTGGGCCAATAAGGTCAAGCAGGGTCTCTCGCCACCACCGCTACCATCGCCAACGGCAGAAGCACAAGAATTGCGCAACACGTGCAACTTCCTCAAGGCAGAGCTAAACAGACTCAACACCATCGTTCAGTCTCTACAGGAGGAAAACAAGAAGTATAAAGAATACGCCAATCATCAACGGGCACTCGCAGCCCAATTCTTTATGGAAAAATGATTAAGGTACTCCAGTGGAACTGTCAGGGGCTTCGCAAACGGGCGGCGGAGCTTCGGATACGACTCCTGGACAAGCCCGATGAACGTCCCGACGTAATGCTACTTCAGGAAACTAACACGTCAAGCATCAACTTTAGCGGCTACACAGCCTACTCCAGCCCATCAATCACATCCAAGCGCCCAGGTTACTCGGCTTCTCCACCGGGAAAAGCTATTGTCTACGCAAGGAGCGACTGGTATCAACACCAGGTCGACCTTACTCCATACTGTGATGAACACCAAGAAGTGGTTGCAGTTCGCGCAACGGTTCAGCAGACGAACCACATTTTTGTGTCCATCTACTAGAGACCGCTTAGAGACAAGACGCATACAAGAAACCACGGATGGATCGCTCATCTGCACGATGTATACCCCCGAGAGCAGAAGCACTACGGCGGAGACTTCAACCTCCAACACCAAACGTGGGGCTACGCACAGTCTTCGAACGGAGCGGAAGATCTAATAGGTGAGATGCAAACATTTCGTTTGCAATTGGCAAACAAGAAAGGAACCAAGACAAGACTGGGAGGAGCCGGACAGAAGGACACGACACCAGATCTATCATGGACGACAAATCAGTACATACAGCATCAAAAATAGAAGTGTCTCCCAGACCCATGGGGCAGCGATCACTTCCCCATTATCTTCGAGTTCTCGCCCACAAAGAAGGTAAAGAACATGACGAAGAAACGAGTGGCCAAGACCGTTCACTGGGACAGGTTCAGGGACGTCCTTAGGGAAGACAAATCAGAAGAGTCCAGCTTCGAGAGCCTCCTCAACAGCGCCCTGCAGGCAGCCACAATCAAGACGAACGTTGAAGAAGACGCTCCTAACCCTGATATTTTCCTTCTCAACCTCTGGGCCAAGCGACTGCAAGCGGTGCAGAAGTACCGAAAGGGGCAAAAAACCCCACTAGGCAGGCAAGCTATTACTAGAGCGACGGTGGAAGCAAAGGTGTACGCCCAAAAACTAGACTCACGCCGCTGGCTAGATTACAGCGCTTCACTTTCCGACAAGACCTCGATGACGAAGCTCTGGGCTACGAGTCGAGCCTTGCTCGGAAAAAAGAAGACTAAAGGAGCGACGCAGACACTAGCTCTCAAACTGAACAAGTCTGAGGAACAGTTGGCCAGAATGTCGGGAGATCTCAGGCCAGATTCACGAAGCGAACTTACGAACAAAAAAGTACTTACGACAAAACCTGAGAACAAATCCGAATTCACGAAACGAAATGTTCGTAACTTTTGCGTGGTTTACGAACGAATCCTACGACAGCCTCCGAGCTGTCTTACGAACTTTTCTTCCAACATGGCTACCTATATCGGTTGGTTGATGCGCCTCGACGGACAGAGGACTTTGAGGCGCGAGCGGGTGTTCCGCCCTCGGATTACGGTGAACGACGTGCCGGAGCACATTTTAGAACGATACTACCGCCTGCCGAAGGAGGCCGTGCTTCGGCTGTGCGACGTGGTCGCCTCAACTCTTCGTCGGCCGACAAAGCGGAGTTGTGCACTGCCGGTCGACGTGCAGGTGCTGGTGGCGCTACGCTTTTACGCGAGCGGTAGCTTCCAATCCGTGGTAGGCGAGGTGGGACACCTGAGCCAGGCGAGTACCTCACGAATCGCCAACAACGTGAGCCAGGCCCTCGTCCTGATAGCCGGGGAGGCGATTTGCTTCCCAACGTCACGGCGAGCAGCGTCCCTCACTTCGATCGGTGAGTATACTACGGCGTTAGCAAAGGCGTTATTCCGCCGGCGCAAACGTAACCGATTGCGAGCATATTAGTCGCTGTTCTACAAACGCGCTAAATATAATAGCATGACGGGAGTGCGTATGCCTACCGTCACTTGATATCAATCCAGATGCCAAGTCCACCGCCGCTCATGTGTACGCGCAGACACTAAAAAATATCTATCTTGACTACCAAAGCAAATAGCTGAACCGCATGTAAACGATTTAGCGAGCGATGAGACGAGCGACGGAGAATTCTCACCGCCGCTCGTCGGGTCGTTCTGTTTTTGTTTTCTAGAAATGTAGCTCATCGCCTTGGTCGCTTGCTCCCGTCTCTTTGATCTAGTGTGCTCCGTCGCGTGACTGACCAAGCGCGGACTACGAAGAACAAACACGACAGGACAGTGCTGTTATTGAAGCATTGTCCTGTCGTGTTTGTTCTTCATAGTCCGGGTTTTCTGAGCTGTTTTTCCAATCAGGTATTACAAGTCCACTGAGCACAGAGTCCTGTGCATACAAGAAACGAGACTGCCTTTCTCGAGCATGCCAGTTTTTGCATTATTACTTAGGGGCATATCACGAGGTTGTATACACCATTTATGGCACTAATAGTTTTCACATGCTGAGCATGCAATTATACCTTGTCTCAGCATAACTTGATAACGAGCGAATGCTACGGCTTTCTTCAGCCAACCTAAGCAACAATGCGAAGCATACAATTCCTCTTCATGGGAGGAGTACCGATACATTGTCACATGCCTCGCACCGGGCTGCCCTTGTAGCTCCTAGGCAAAGCGCCTTCCTGCAGATGCCCAGGTGGCGGGTTGGCTAAGGTCCCTGCAATATCTCGGAGGCTTATTGCACAGAAGGAGGCGTGCCATTAGCCAAAGTTTTGTTTGCATATCAAAAGATCCCCAGGTGGCCAGAATGGACTCTCAGTACTCCACTGGGCCGTGTCAGATGCCCTTCATTGGTTTGGCATGTAAACCCTCAAATTTACATGCCCGCACCGACATTGTGATTGGCTTGCTAAGGTCACGGCATTATCTATTCACCATGTTGTGGTGAAATCAAGTGTATGAGGATTACGGTTGTATCATACTTGCATGTCTGTTTTCTTTTAACTCATTCTACAGGTTTCCTCGGGATCGCTGGCTTCCCACGGGTGCTCGGCTGCATAGACGGCACCCATGTGGCCATCAAGGTGTCCAAGGAGGACAAACCAGTTTACCTCAACCGCAAGGGATACACTTCGATTAACGTCCAGGCTGTGTGTGATGCCAACAACGTAGTGACCCAGCTGACTGTCAAGTGGCCTGGCAGCACCCACGACAGTTTTATGTGGAGGAATTGTGACCTCTATGAGAAGTTCTGTGCTGGCACTGCCCCTGATGGCTGGCTGCTTGGTAAGTTTCTACTGAAAGGGTGCAGTAGAACATTGCTGCACACAAAGAAAACCTAATATAAAGGCAACAATTTGCACTATGACTGTAAGAGACATCGTCCAGTAGTCTTAAATTTTTGGGAATGTGCTCCGAAAGCAGTAATGATCAAAATGCATTTCTTTGCAGTTTTGTTTTGTATTGACAATTCAAGATTGCAGCGCCACACTATACTTGGCTTGCACCGATGTCACTACAGACACCATGTTGATGGCCACAAACACTATTCTCTCTCAGTGGTGGCCACAAATACTGCCTTCTCTTTCTCTTTCCGTTCTGGATAAGTGGGTAAGGGGGAGGATTGCTTTTGTGTGTGAAGTTCGGGGTAAAAGGTAATTCCTGAGGGGGACAAAGGCGAGTTTGAGGGGAACCTCATCTATAGTCGGTGACAGGTCAAGAATGAAGCGGAAGTTCCTCCCACCTCTTTCCACTCTAGTAAAGTGAACGCCAGAGAGGAGGTGACCTTCTCTCTACCGTTCGCTCCGCTGAAGTGGAAAGGGGTGGGAGGAGCTTCCACTCCGTTCTTGACCTGTCACCGGCTGTAGGTCATGATGCCTCAGCGAGCCAACAGGATGTAGTGGTCGGAACGACTCCCAGTGTGGTCTCGTGACGTCACATGCAAGCCACATATATATGTATATGTGGCATGTATACACAAGTATTTATTGCAGAAACCATGGCCACATATATATGTATATGTGCCATGTATACACAACTATTTATTGCAGAAACCATGACAGTCAAATGTGGTGACATGAAATTACTATTCAAGCCTGTCTTTGCATAATGCAGGGGATGCTGGCTACTCCGTGCAGCCCTGGCTAATGACCCCAATCAGGGCACCGAAGGATGAACCGGAGGAAGAGTACAACGAGGCGCTGACGAAGACCCGACAGGTCATTGAGCGAACGTTTGGACTCCTCAAGTCCAGATTCAGGTGCCTGGACAAATCTGGAGGAGTACTCCAGTACAAGCCTCAGATCTGCTGCCGCATCACTGTGGCCTGCGTAGTTTTACACAACTACTGCATGCGCCACCATGTGTCCTTCAACGAACCACTAGGTAATATAATAGGCCCTTTCCACAATTTAAGCGCTCCTGGCAGCAAGGCAGTGTATTTGGGGTTTCAAAAGACCAATCTCACTGTCGAAATGCGCTATGCCACTACTTCCGCAGTGCGTAAAGGAAAATTTAGTTTTGTGTACGCATGGCATTGCAAAGCACCAGATGGCACACACAGCGGTCTCTCACTGTGAGCTAGTTATGGCGATGTCACTTATGCAGAGGGTTTTGTGAGCTCGGTCTATTGGTCAACTACTGTTCACGGCATTGTGTTGCAACCAAATGCATTGCTTGCATTACTCAAATATGCAGAAATGTATAAAGCTGTAGGCATTGCTGAACACGGTACACCAGCAAACTGGAAATTTGTGCCTATTGTGTCCGCAGCGAAAAAAGAATCAGCAACGACTGGGAAAGTAGGAAGATCATGGTACATTATTGCTCAGGAAAGCTAATTGTTATATTCTTCTTTCATTGTATACGACATACACTGTCGTTTCAGTCATTCAGAATGCGATGAACGTTAAGTGTCTGAACCAGGCCTCGTGTAAACAAGCAAGCTCGGCGTTTGGACATAGCGGTTGTCACAGCACATGTTGGCTTCGTTGCAGATAACCAACTTAGCCAGCAAAGTATGACTGCAAGCCTGGGGTTTTTAATTTGCACTAAAATGTTCATCTAGATTGAAACGGGCAGAGGTGGGGATCAACCCCACGATTCTAAGATTCTGAACAGATAAATGTGCAGAATCCCCAATGATTGCACATATCAGGCACTATTCAGTCACCCGACATCCACAGCTCTCAAAAATAATCTCGCATGGGAACAAAAGCATACGGAAATGGAATAATCCCTATCTATGAGTGTGCATTTTGTCTGAGCTTTGGAAAGCTATCTGCTAAAAGTGCTAAAAGCAAGGTACCCTTGAAGTGCTCACGAGAATGAAGCCATTTCTTTCTTTGTTTACCAGCTAACAGAGTTTGTGTAGTTGGGTGCCAGCTAACACGTTATACACAATTGACATTCCGAGTTAATATAACTAGGAAAGCTTTAATGGTTCTTTTTTTGTTTGCAGTTGAATTATCCGAGGACGAGGAGGAAGAGGAGGAGGAGGAGGAGGAGGAGGAGGAGGAGGACGACGACGACGACGACGACGATAGTGTTCAACCCACGGCAACAGCAAGAACTCGTAGGGCACGGCCCATGGCAGTGGGTGCATCTGTGAGAGATGCACTTGTTCGCCATGCTTTCACTTAGAAGGACAGTGAGGTTGTTCTGAATTTTTTTTTATAATGTGCGTTCTTGAAGATTTTGGGTCACACATGTGACAATGGTATAATAAAGTTCCCCCAGTGTCATGTGCTTTGCTCTGGCATTGTTATCAGCTCACTGGGCCATTAGAGTCCGCTGTTATGCAAGATACTATGTTGATATGGGGCGTAGTACATCGTTTATTCCTCAGGAAGACTTGTCGTCAAAGTGTACACCATATTTGTGCGCCTTCAGCGGCACCAATTGCTGCTGCGTCACTAGGAGCTGCTGCTGCGTTGCCAGCAGGCCCTGCTGTGCACTGACCAGCAAGTCAAGCTTCTCCAATATTGCCCTTTGTGACTTCAAGATGTCGTGGCCAACCTCGTCGTTGCTGCCTGATGGGGTCGAATAAGGATGAAAGTTTTGTTAACAGAATGCACACATGTACGTGACAGGTACGCATACGGCACATTGATACTTTTGCCCTATGTTGCAGGTGAAGAAAACCAGACTCTGAAATGCAAAAAAAGTCTACATTTTTATATAAGCTTTACCAAAACATTCGGTACTGGAGAAAATGAGACCTCAGCATGGCATATTTATTGGAACTGTTTTTGTTTACGTTCAGCTCTTCAGTTTGGTTTGCTTGTTGCCACCATAGACACATGCCCAAGCCCATCACCTGAGGCGATTGAGGGCTGACATCATTTGTCTAATGTAATGTAAATGGCACCCGACACTTCGTTGCCATGATGGTGACAAACCAGGCTGCAGATCAAACTAGACCTCACCGGCAACATGGGGTCGAAGGTACCAACATGCCCTACTGACCTTCAAAATATTGTCTCGTCTTTTTTTGTTTCAGAATTTCTGAGAATAGCTTTCCTCGAGAAGTGGTCATGTTTAAGAATGAAAACATAGAACAGGAATAACCATCCACCTCTCCTAGCAAAGCTCATTTGCAGTGCGGCACGTTAAATTTGTACTGTTCGACACTCACTCTGTCGAATCGTTGCGGGAGTGGTGGCAGGTCTCTCCGCAGTTGAGGCACTTGCAGCCCTCGCAGCTGCAGCTCTTACCGCTGCAGGCCGGGCTGACCCAGGTCGCGCCGATCCTGGTCTTGCTGAGGCAGGCCGTGAGGCCGTGGCACACGCTGCTGGGTTTTCACCTCTGTTGGGGCCTTTGAAGTAGACAAAATATGATTGGCCCATTATATGCTCTGAGACTACCCTGTAATGACCGAAGCGCCACTGAGACACTACCTTAAACAACCAAACCATTCTATAACGCGTCTGAATGAGGTTAAGTGGAATCGTGACCTCGGTGTTTAACAGTGCACACCAGCAAAGTAGGGTTTTCTGGCATTTAGTGTTATTTAATATGTTGACAGAATGCCCAAACGCATTATCCTCAATATGCTCTCTCTCCCTAAACCAAAATATCCTTTTCCTTCGCTACTCTCTCCAAACCAAAATATCCTTTTCCTTCGCTACTCTCTCCAAACCTAAATATCCTCCTCCCTCTTTCCTTTCTCTCCCTGTAAGCCCAAGGGAGGAAGAACTTAGTTTGTAACTTGGGTTTACATTGGATGTAATGCCATGTGAGACTTAAAATAACTGGAAACGACTTCAACAACACTGTTAGACTAAAAAAAGTAATCTTTTGTTGCCACTGACAATGCTCTATATTGTACAGAAAGCTATTAAAAAGGTGTTCGACAAGTCCGAATGCCACATTTTTTCTTAGTATAATGGTATGAAATAGTACCATATTATCAAGTTATTTGTGACTAGACTTTCAGATACATTAATTTCCTTTTGGAGGGCCAGACCTCAAACACTGCTCTGAATTTAATTACACGCTAACCGTACTATACATTTCACATGCTAAATACAAACATTTATACATCAACACTTGACCTTATTGTGGTTCATAATACTCACTCTGGTTGGAAAGGTCCCCCATATCCCCCAAGCTGTAATTGGAAGAGACAAGAGCACCTTTAACAATCATTTGCACCTGTATATGTCACTCCCTCACTGATCAAAATAAGAACTGACTTTGAGTGCACGGGCCAACCTTGGTCTGGAGCGCTGCTGGGTCCCGCTCCCGGATCCGCGACGAAAGCTGAGAGTACCATGATTATGTCAGGATTTTGTAACAAGCTGAAATATTGCGAACTTACATATGGGTGAAATAAACACCGAGCCGCGGTCGGCGCAACTGCTTGGGGTGGTTCCCGAGCGTCTAGAAAGTTGAAAAGCAAATAGGATGACACTCAAGACGACGCAGTTTTCGATGGCTCCTAATGCCCGCAATGAGTGTCAATCGCACAGTGAAGCCTAGAAGTGCGGTAACGGAACGAATAATATTCCTTCCCGCAGCCGCGCGCTTGAACGCCAGCACCTCGGGCATTGATGAGCATTTAGCACTTACCAGACTGGCGTGCTGGGCGCACACCTATATCGAAGGCCCCTTCTATGCCCACGAGGGCATTTTCACTAAGGAGGCCTATGACGCGCTCCTCAGCCTCCGTCAAATCGGGTTCTCCCGGGCCGCCTCCCGTGGCGTTTTGGCTGCGCCGGACTGCAGCTCCTATGAATTGCGACAAGCTGGAATCACAGTGAGCTCCACACTACATACGTAAGTTAAGAGCGTAGAAATCGACCTTACCGCGGATTTTGTTGGCACTCTTGTAGTCGGCCCACTTTTTTTTTACGTCGGCGACCTCACGTCGGATCCCTGACACCGCGAATAGCGTCGCCGTGATGCGTTCCCACGCCCGCCGCTTGGCTTGGGAGCCGTGCGGGCCGTCTCCCTTCGCTTCGATTGCTCTCTTATTTTTTTCATATCCGTCCACCAAGGCGGTGATCTCGGACTCAGTAAAATTTGGCATCCGCAACTTCTTTGGTGCCGACATCGTGGAAGAGCGTAGCAGACAGCCTCTGTTTTGTGTCTGGCGCACGTGCTCTGCAGCCCGCCGTGAAAACGAGCTCTCTGATTGGCTGATCAGGTTGTTGTAGACGCTGTTGTCATAGCAACAGCCCGCTCTCGCTGTTGGCGAGACACCGGAAGTCGTCGTTTGCCCGCGAGAGAATTTCGCTTTCCTCCTCTCACTTAAGAACGCGTTCGTGAATACCGATTTCTCCTCTTCTTACGATGTTCTTAACTTACGAACTTCTTAGCTAAGTTGTCGTAGCCTAAGAAGCTCTTCGTGAATCTGGCCTCTCTTCTTTCCTCAACCTGACCTAACCGGCTGCGCCCCCCCTTACTATCAAGAAATTCTGGCTCCCGATCACGAGATGGACCGTCTCTTTACGCGCGGAGAACTCGAGTGTGCCTTGAATCAAGGGAAGTTGCACACGGCACCGGGATCAGACAAAATCACTATGGCTATGCTACGAAACCACCCAGACAACACGAAAGAACAACTCCTAGACATGATCAACCAGATCTGGGAAACTGGCAAACTTCCCCAGCAGTGGAAGCACTCCCTCGTCATTCCAATTCCCAAGCCGGGCAAAGACAAAGGTGCACTCTCCAGCTACAGGCCAATCTCTCTAACGTCATGCACATGCAAGTTGATGGAACGAATGGTACTTGCAAGAATCGTATGGCATCTGGAATCTACGGACGCCTTCCACCCCGCCCAGACAGGGTTTCGACCGAGTCTCGGAACGCAAGAAAGCCTCACCCTCATATCGGCTGACGTAATACGAAACATCAACCCCAACCGCGCAACCATCAGAACAATTGTGGCGATTGATGTCAAGAAAGCTTTTGACTCGGTCCCACACGCATCAGTCATCAACGAAGCCCGAAGACTCGGCATAGTCGGAAGGCCGCTGAACTTTGTCAAGAACTTCCTTGAAGGGAGAACGTTCTCGGTACGCTGCGGCTCGCACGACAGCGAACCGAGAGTGAACCGAGTCGGAGTCCCACAAGGCTCCGTGCTGTCACCAACGCTCTTTAATATCGCGATGGCAGCCCTGCCTCACGAACTTGCAAAGATCCCCAACTTGGGCTTCACCGTGTACGCGGATGACGTCTCGATATGGACCAAGAACGACGACATTGCAAGACAGCAAGACACTCTACAAGCGGGCCTAGATACAATCGAAGCCCACCTATGCAGAGTGAAAATGCAAGCCTCTCCGGAGAAAACCAACTACACCGTAATCGCACCGAAAAGACACCATCTCGCCAAGATTGCAGAACAACTAAACCTCGTTCTTGCAGGCAAGCGAATCGAGCCATCCACGTCTGTCAAGATATTAGGGATCACTATTGAGGAGACCGGTAAGGCAGACATCTGGCTACAGGACACACTTAAACATTGCAACTCTGCCCTTAATGCCATTCGGCGCATCTGTAGCGCAAGGGGTGGAGCGTCAGAAGAAATTGCCAGAAGAATGGTCAAAGCTTTAGTAGTTTCGCGTGTCTGCTGCGGGGCTCGACACTACTGGCTGACCAAGGCGCAATGGCAGAAGCTCGAAGCTCTGAACAACCAAGCAAAAAGAATAATCACGGGCCTGCACAAGTTCTGCCCCCTGGGCAAGCTGAACGAACACGCTCAGATTAACTCCCTACACGAAACCGTTGTTGCCCGCACGGTCGCACACGGGGAGAGACTTAAGCACACACGACAAGGGAGAAGGATCCTGGAACTCCTATTGAGATGTACCGGAGACCTACCCAAGCTACCACAGGAACTCCCGCCATGGGAAGATCACGCAGAAATCACAGACAACAAGCCAAGCACGCGGAAGGGCGACAAAAAGCAACAAGACCGCCTCGCTAGGGCACACATCAAGATGACGGAGGCGTGGGAAGAAGGAACGAACGGGATCGTGGCTGCATACACGGACACTGCTTCGATAGACGGCCCAGTCACTCTAAAGACCGCGGCTGTTATCTTTCCAACACTAGGCACAAGCGCAACCAAGAACCTTCCAGCCCGCACCTCGGTGAAAGGGGGAGAACTTGCAGCAGTCGCCTTGCCCTCGAGACGGCCCTTGCATTACCTGAACCACCACCAGAGCATCTCCGGATATTTACGGACTCTCAGGAAGTGGTAAAAGAATGCAGAAAATCAAGAAGCCCTAGCGCAGACGTGCGTAATATCAAGAAACTCGCCTCACTGCTACTAGCAAGAGGCACGACTACGAGAATAGCCTGGATTCCAGCACACGCAGGAATACCCGGCAACGAAGAGGTGCATCGACTCGCCCGCACGTCCCTTCTCGCTCCCCGTGACCGAGACGATACACCTTCACTGCAAGACCACGACCACGGCTACGCTCCCGTCCGCGATCGGGCACCGGCTAGTCGAGCACGAAAGGAAGACTGCAACGATGGAGGGTACGATCCAGGAGAGGAACGTGCCCAAATCAAGCAAGAATACCAATCAACACTCTGGGAGAAACTTCCCCCAACACCAAACCCTCCTCTGCCAACAGGGTTTGGAAGAAGGGCCAAGGTCCTCCTGACCAGGATCAGAACAGACACAACATTAACACCAGCGCGCATAGCATCTTGGAGCCGCGGGAAGAGATCCGGCACCTGCACCAAGTGCAATATGGGTGCCAAGGCGGACACTTTTCACTTGTTGTGGGAATGCCCCAAATACAAGATCACCAGGTCGAAGCACCGACCGAGTAACGTCGCCTCTCTGGAAGGTTGGACACACCCGCCAGGCGAAGAGGACAACAAGAGAAGCATCCTCCGAAGTCTCATAGATTTCATCTACGAGGCGAACCTGGATATCTTTATTTAGCCTAGTTTAATTATTTCTTCTTTTTTTTTGCCAGCGTCCAGACCTTGCAGCCGCCGACGCACTCCCCCATCCCTTACCCTTATTTTATGGCCAATAAACGCTTTCTGAACTGAACTGAGTTGCCATCCCATCTGGCTTCTTATAAAAAGAAAAAGAAGAAAACTGCATATTCTTCTACTGACTTAATGAAAACGGCACCACCAGCACTACCTATGACCAAAATCAGTATCAAGAAAAAGAAGAAAAAAAAAGAGTAGGGGGTTCTGAGTTGCCATCCCATCTGGCTTTTTATAAAAAGAAAAAGAAGAAAACCGCATATTCTTCTACTGACAAAAAAAACGACGACGACGAGTCAGAACAGTAGGTGACTTTTCTGATCACTTCCTTCATATCAACTGAAGTAATCGTATAATTTATTCGCGTACTAACTACAACTGCGGCACTTCATATTTACAATCCTTCGCCCCACGCCCTGAGCGCGTGTGGGGCTTTTGGCTCTTCAACACCATGCAAAACACCGAGCTGAACGATCACGGAACACACTCGTCAGAGTACGTCATATAACATTCTTACTCTGCTGAACCGAGCAACCCAAATGACGTTCCTATGGATTCTAGAGCTGCAGACCTTCTTCCTTCATCACTTTCACAAGGCAGTGAAGCGTCATTGACACCCGGCCAAGGCACACCTCGTGGTACCGACGACGACATGGAAGAATCTGCAATAGCTCAAAGATCTGAGCACGACCGCTACACACTGGTAACATCGAGAAAGCGTCCCAAACCAAGCGAATCACCGCCTAAGGCTCCACAAGTAGGACCAACTGTCATATTTGTACCAGCGAACCACACAGATTCCCTCACCAAACTTAGCATCATGAGAGTTTCCTCCGAGCTGGAAAACCACTGCCCAGAAAGCATCCAGATGATACGCCCAAACAACCGACTGAACTTGATCGCAGTAGACACCAGAAACGCACAGGCTACTCGATCGCTTCTAAAACTAACATCTCTGTGCGGAGTCACTGTGAAGTCGTACGAGCCCGGACCCCGCGATGGAGCCGTCGGCGTCATCAAGGGTGTTGGCGACGACGTTGATGATGCTCTCCTAAAAGCTGGGCTAACCTTGGAGATACCCGTGGTCCACGCCAGAAGACTAGGTAAATCTCAAGTAGTCAGGATCCTTTTTAATGGCCCAAAAATGCCCAAGTACGTGCTGCTCTCACGGGTCAGGTACCAAGTTTTGGATTTCGAAGAGCGCCCCTTGCAGTGCGCCAACTGTGGCCGTTTTGGCCACAAGACTGTGGTCTGTACGAAGAATCAGATGTGCAGTCGATGTGGAGGCAGCCACAGTCGAGCGAGCTGCGACGCTTCTCCCCTGTGTGTTAACTGCGGCAGTGAACATGATGCCCTTGTAGCTT